TTTTTTTTTTTTTTTTTTTTTTTTTTTTTGTTTATCAGTCAGTCAAAAATTTCGTGGAATTTCTGTGGCATGATACTATTTGAGAAATTAAATGTTTATTAACGTCAAATATCTATTAGCTTGGAAGATCTTCCTGTAGAAGCAGGTTTTAAAAACGAACTTCTGGAAACTACAAAAAAAAAAAAAAGTATTTTTTTTAAAAGTTTCTAAAAGACTAGTTTCTGTGGTGAACAGAAAAAATTTAGCGGCGAACAGCGTTTTATTACAACTTTTAATTATTGAAAAAATTTGGTCCAAATAATAGTCTAACTGCAGCTCGTCTGAACTGCCTACGAAGCACTGTTTTACAAAGATTTGTCGCGGGCTGCGCGGCACTGAGAGAAAAATCGCCACTCAATTAGATTTATTTCAAATTATTTAAATAAAGTATTTTTTCAAAGGTTATTTCACTGTAAGTTTTTAAATTATAGTTACAGCTTTTAGTTTCACAGCTGCTTTTATGACGAATTTCTAAATGTTCGAAATATTAAGCAAAATAAAGTCAAAAAAACTTTTGTAAAAAATTTATTTACAAAACACTTTTGTCTTACTTTTTAACTTACTTTAATATTTTCAATTATTTTTCGAAAACAGAAACTTGATCAGAATGACTCAATGAAACTGCGTTTTCAGTTGACATCGGTTACATTCCTTCTGTGGTTATCATATCGTATTTTGGGTCGCAGGGAAGTAGAAGCAAATGGATTGGTGGCGGAGCTGTAGTGATTGCTTTATCCTGTTTGTTAGCCACATTGCCAAACTTTATATTTTCTGCAGAAAAAATTGACTTCAATCTGACATCTGTTACGGTTTGTTCATTATTTCACTCAATTTTTAATATTTGAAATAAAAAGTGAAGTTTTTCCACTTGTCTTTTCTTAAGTCAAATTATCTGTTTCGCTGTTTTTGGTACGTTTGTCGCTTTAAGGAACGATTGAAGCCCTCTTCAAAACTAATGTCACCTGATGCGACTTTAGAGGATTACTTCTCTTTTGCTCCATTGCATGAGAGAATTTCAAAGCCAGTCCGAGACTCTTTCTTCGCACTGCTGAAGAACAATACAGCAAAGACTCCTGTTTTGAATTCAAAATCTGATCAGCTACTGCAGAAGAATGAAATTTATTCAATTGATGGACCGCTCGCTTCTGAGGTAACAGTTATTAAACGAAAGAAATTTTTGTATGTAAATTATGATGCACTGTTTTTTTGCTTTCAACTAAAATGTTTTTGCTATCATGTCATGTACTAAAAAAAATTTAAACTGATACAAGTTTAAAATTAGCTGAAAAAAGTGGCAGAGCTGATTTTTGTTAACTGCTTAGATAATCGTGTTTGTTTCAAAAATTCTCATATTTACAAATTACGAATAAAATAGTAAATCTAGCCGAGATAAATTGATGCAAAAAAAATTTTTAGATCTTGTCTTTGACGATGTAGCATCAAAAAAACTTGTCGAAGCTTAAGTTTAATAATACAGTGGTTATAAGTAATCACGTAAATGTTATTCATAATTGTTGATAGCATGATATTATCATGACTGTCTAAGTTAATTGACAAATAAAATAAGCTGTACAAGACACGTTATATAAGACTTATGGTTGAAATTACAGTGAACGCTCATTAAATCTTATCAGATGTTCCAGCAGCTTATGTTTCAGATCGAGCAAGAAATTATGTTGATTTACGAAGGCAAGTCAAGCATTAGCAAGATTTATAGTTTAGCAAGACAATATGCTCAAAATCGAAAAGGGCAGTTAAAAACAGATATTGCCGTGCTCAGGAAAACTGCAACCTCTCCTTTTAAATACTGTAATCGTCTGGTGAACGACTTAAGAGAGTCGCTTATCGTACGTAGTTATTTAATTCAAAAATTTGAATTTTCTTGTTTGATTAAATTTTCTAACATCTTCTTAGCTAAATCGATTCTGCACAGGTTTTTATCATTCTAGGAGATGAAGTGCAATCGCAAAGTTTACAACTTTATACCTCTGTTAATCATTATCATAGCATTTGGCTGCTTTGGAGTTGGACGTTCTGTACTGACCACTCTTGGCATACCAGCAATTGACGACTTAGTTGAAAAAGAAAAACTACCATTGTATTTTGGTAGGCTTTAATGATTAGTTTAATTATCGTTTTGCCAAAACTTATTATCTTTAGCAAAAACTGACAGATACAGGTTACTATCACAAAACCGCTTTCAATCAAAGTTGTTAAATTTAACAGTTGGAGCTATATTATACTCACAACTAGACACTTTTTACTACAAATTTAATCACAAAATTAGTTATTTGGAGAGAAAATACTATAAATTTTTAGCGATGTTATCTTTCTTAAGAACACTCGGACTGACTTCCGGATTTTTGGTTGGAGGATTTTTTAACAAGCTATATTATACATTGAATGGTGAGTCTTATTTCATACACAAGTTATTTTGCCATAGCAAACACCCAAGTAGAATGAGAGAACCAGTTAAAATTATCGAATCGCTATCAAAGATTTCTTTAGCTTTTCAGCTCCGTTTGGTTTGAGTGCTGATGACCCGTTGTGGATAGGAGCTTGGTGGCTTGGATTTTTTGTTCTCAGTTTAGTGATGTTACCGCCAGCATTATTTTTAGTCTGCTGTCCGTGGAGCTGGTAGTTTTCCTAAAGTACAGTTACCTAAATTGAAAGATAACTTTTTAATATAAAAGTATAAAGTGCGGTATTTTTTGA